TCTGTGAAGTTAGCACGACGTCTTATTAATTTCCAAAAAACAACGGTTGTTCCAGTAGTTCTTTTCATTGTTCTACTGTTCTTGTAAATATTATATCAAAACATGTACCGCATTTTTAATACCAAAAAATAGAAAATAAAAAATGACGTGATAACTTAACGTGATTAATCAACTTCCTAAAACTTGATATTTTATTTGAGTATTATCGAAAACACGTACAATGTAGAAATTACCAAACAACGCAAAAGTGTAAATCCGGTTATTTCCCGTTATTTTCCTCGTATATGTGCTAATTTTACTAATTACTGGATTTTAGGTTTACGTGTGGCCAATGATTGGCCTAGTAGAGGAGAGATCGTTTTTGAGAATGTCTTTCTGCGCCATGATGCAGACAGAAATCCGGTAATCACAAATTTGTCTTTGAGAATACCAGCTGGGCAAAAGGTAATCTGTAGATAAAATAACAAATATATAAAAATGTAGGTAAAATAAATAAAATCATATATGTATGATATAAGAATAATTATATAATAATCATTACTTTCTCTAAAACTTTAGAATGAATTGTCACCCTAAAGAGTGAAATCTCTCTTAAACAGTTAAAAATAGAGCCGTTCTTTTTTAAGACTGGCTTTTCATTCTTTAGAGTGAGATTACACAAATCCAAAGAATTTAGAGAGTAAGTTTTTTATTTTAAAGCAATGTATATAAAGAAAGGCAAAGAACCAGTAAATTACACAGGCAAAATAATGCGTTTTAATCACAAACATTTTAATTTTACATTTTCTTTATATACATTGTTTTATACTTATAGAGTCTATTAATTTTATTATTTTTATTTTAATGTATAATAAAATAGAAATATAACATGCATATTCAATTATATTTTATAATTATATGACATAATTATATTTATTTTTAAGATATATATATTTTATATTTTATTATACAATTAATATTTGTAGTTGGGCATTTGTGGAAGGACCGGTAGCGGAAAATCATCAACCGTAATGGCTCTTTTCCAACTGATCGAAATCAGTCAAGGGCGCATCTTGTTGGATGGAATTGATATCCGGGAAGTACCTCTTCGAATACTACGATCTCGGTTATCGGCCATACCGCAAGATGCAATAATGTTTAGCGGCACGATCAGGTACGCAAATAATGCAGTCATAAATCTTTCATTATTGCAAAATGTCCTAGTCTTTGACGCCGCCCGCAATTCACAGCTTGTATTTGCGTTCCATATAATATGTAGACGGTGTTCATCTAAAAATTAAGTATACATGTTTCAACATAAATTAATTACGTTTTTAGAAAAAATCTAGATCCGTTTTCGGAACACGAGGATCAAGAAATCTGGCGAGCCTTGGAGCTTTCGCAAATCAAGGATGTAATAGCTTCACATCCCGATGGACTGAGTACGCAATATAATATAATATACATAAAATTAATATGATAAATAACACAATATAGTACATTCAAAATAACAATGTAATGTAATTGAAATTAATTTTGATGTAGGTCTCGAAGTACGAGAAGGCGGCGAAAATTTTTCAACAGGTCAGATGCAACTGCTTTGCATGGCTCGTGTGATTCTTCAACGATCGAGTATTGTCATTCTCGATGAAGCAACTAGCGCACTTGATACAGCCACTGAGAAATCACTCCTAAACGCGGTTGCTGTCGCTTTCGAGAACAGAACCGTAATCACCATCGCGGTTAGTAAGCGTTCGATAAATCGAATGTGCATTCTACAAAATGAATTACCGATATATTCTATCAGTGCTGATCGAATCAACTAACTTTGATTGCAATTTGATCAGTTTTTCTCCGATTATATTAAACTATCAATTAAATGTTGAGTCTATGTACTTGTTATTAAGTATAAATTTCTTATCTCTTGAAATGAGAGATACAGAATATTATTATATATTAATATCAATTAAATATATTTTAAGCTTGAGATGGTAATAAGCATTTCTTATCAATAAAATAGAAAATCATTTTAGTGATATCTTTAAAAATTATTTATGCAATAGGTAGAAAAATTAGAAACGTCGTTTGTTAACAATGGAATTATGCAAGAGTTAGAAAAAGTAAAACTGAAAAAGTGAAATATAGGCGTTTTTTAATACTTTCATCTATAATATTTTAACAAAATTGATTTCTGTGCAGCATCGAGTGGCGGCCTTGTTAGATTGCGATCGCATCGTTGTCTTCGACGAGGGTAAAATTATCGAAGAGGGCTCACCGACAGATTTAATGCAAAGACAGAACGGAGCCTTTTCTGCAATGATCAAAGCAGTCGAGCAAAGCGACGAACAACAATGAGAATAACCGTGAAAATATATCAATTAACTTCACTGATATACACTATATAGAAAGAACTTTTTTACCGAAATATTTAAAAATTTAAACAATCGTTCTTTCCATATAATATCAAAATAATTTAAATCTTAAAATAAAAATTCAAAGACTGCTTTAGGATATGAACGTAAAGTTTCTCTATACGTTATGAGGATACACGTATACATATGTAGCAAAGCTTTATTTTTTATATTAATCTTATGCGTATGTGACTAATTTGTTATTTTTATACAATATCCTAATTTTGTATCTTAAATATATTGGAAATTGTAATATATAAATATATAAAAGATGGTAATCGAGTTATACTTGATGATGTGAACGCGACGCCCGGTATATCACAGGATAAGAATGCCAAACGATAATAATTACCAATATCCCCACGTCGTCGACTGTATCTACCACTGCAGGAAAGGTGAGCGTGTTTTTCTGTTAGTGGCATCGAGGCCGGCCTGTCGATAGCACCGGAGTTGTTTCGCTTATCAGCACTTTTTGGTTCCGATCAACAGCGATGTCGATAAGCCTGACAAGTGTGGAATTTTATATAAAGAAAAAAGATGAACGTTATTAACACAATTGTCTCATATCATTACGTGAGAGAGTTACTTTCATCGACGGACGTGACTAATAAATTAATTAAGAAAGTGATGAATTGTCAACTCTTTTAATTTAAAACAATAAAAGAATTATTTAATCGCGTTATGTACAATTTGCAACAAATGTACGGTAATATTTATCGCTAAAACTTTAACAATGAATCTGATTTTTCGATACTCAAGCCATGTGACTTAATAAATCAAGTATTTAATTTAAGTGATAATTGAAATCTGCAGTGACAAATGATCGTCGTATGATTACAAAGGATTCGATGAAAAGAAGTTACAAGAATGTAGCTATTAATGTGTTTTAAGGATAATGCTATTTTTCTAAAGTGAAACGTTTTACACTTTATTGTGCACCGATACGAAATCACAGAGATAATTAGCGAAGACAGAATCGTAAAATTCGAGAGGTGAGTATTTCTAACAAATTAACACGTGCGTTGTTAGCAGATTTTTTTACCACGAGGCAGAATATTAACAGATTTTATATTTTAACATGTAGGTTTATAGATGTTTCTATCTCAGCATGATGACTTCTCTCTCTTTCTCTCTCTAAAATTATCAAAAAAAACAATGTAACGTTTATATGATATGATTTATTAGTTTACTGATTAGTAATTGTAGGGAATCTCAGATAAAATAAGCTAAATTGTCTTCAAATAACGGATATGAAGTTCTAGAGAATAAAGCTATCCTCTTTGTTTGCTTAATATTGTTATCTAATTGTCAGTAAAAAAAGGCAAATGATAAGAAAGAAGAATGATTGCTCATTTTGATGAATCAAAGCGGATAGATAACGAAAATCTGACCATTTAAATAAATAGTTTGCAACTGAAAAATTGAATTTATGAGCGGACACATTTTAGTTATCGCGAGGAAAATATATTAAAGAATTAAAATAGAAGCACACCGGTTGTGATGCTAAAAAAAGCATATAAATAGTGATAAAGACTCGTGATAAGAGATCATCATTACGCAGATAAGAATGAAGAAAACGTAAAAGCAAATGAGATCAGAAGAAGATTTTTTTTAGTTTAGTAACTCACAGGTAATCATTAGTAAACTAAGAGTCTTTTGTAGCAATTGCTAAGTGTAGTTGACAATAGATCTAATTGTTTAAAATGTTTCTTTCAAAACTGATAAATATTTGTCGAAGGTTTCTTAATTGTTCTTGACAGCATTAACAACAGCATATTGATAATATCTTCAAGTATAATAGCATATCTGTTGCAATACTTAATAAACATTACTTGGAATATTTCTTTTAATTGCTTATATTGTTTTATTGCTTCATATTATTTAGTTATTGTATATTTCACTTTCTTTATTTCATACTAAGAGTTTAATTTTACTAATTAGGTAGTTGTCATTGACGTATACTAAAATTTTGCGATAAAGCATTGGTGCGAGTATCGAACTATTTTAATGTTTAATTATACCTTTATATTGAAAATTTTGGACGCATATGTACAATTTTTGTTCATTAAAGTAAGAGCGCAAGATATTGCTGAATCAGCATGATAGCACACACAAGTGGAAATTACTATATTCGAGAAACATTTACTTTATGTTCAAATATTTTACTTTAACCTTAGAAAAGTGAACCTCCGTATAATGATGACATAAATCGTAAATCAAAAAAACCATAAAATTAGCATTTTAATCCTCGAATTGCAATAACATTTGAACTAATGGAATAGATTTATTAATATAATTTAAAACAAAAAATGTACACTAAATATATACTTTTAATTAAAAATTAACTATCAGCGTTTTGTATAAAAACTTTTGTTTTAAACTTAATTATATGACATTAAAACTTAATATCACTGATTCTGACAAATTAATTTTTAATAAATCATAAGCTTGCTCATTTTCGAAAAACAAAAATAAAAAAGAAATGAAAAAATTATGAACAAAATTTTTAATCGTTATTTTTAATTCGTATTGATACGCGTCAAAGTAAATAAAAATTAAATTAATACTGCTTGACAGTAGAAAGAGTACATTTTTCTTGATAGTTACAATAGCCTGTACGAACGTTTGACAAAGAACACGAAGGCAATCTTATTAACAGAAAAAGAATAGACTCATTAGATAAGATACTCGCGCGCCACATATACCTGCTTGTTGACACTGCTCGTAGCTGTTATCGACTAGATAAGATTTCTGCGTCTTTGTCGTACCTGAGGTATCAGTCGAACGTGCGAATTCATGCGGTACACCTTCGTGCGGTCGTACTTGAAAAAAAAAAAAAAAAAGATCTATGTCTCTTTACTCCGAGATTGTACGAGCGAAGAGCGCGTAATCTTCCTTGACATCCTTAGTGGGCCCTCCGGCGCAGGATTCTCAGTTTAGCTTAAAAGATTTCCCACGTCAACCTGAAGGGTGAGTTTCGCAAGACAGTGTAAGCGTCGCTAATTGTGCTGCACGTCATCGAATTCGCTCTGTCAAGATGACAATGCTATGATAGACGTTTGTTACCGCACGTTTTTATCCGCGCAATCAATTATCTAATCGATTTACGGAAACATCGATTCGTATTCCTGATACCATTCTAGACTGATAAATTTCAAGATCGACTTGCATTTCGATGTCGATAAACTGAAGATGGCAACCAAGGGTTTCTTTCGTCAGTGTTGCAATGAGGGTATATAAATATTGAATTATTATTTAACTCGATTTATGTACAATTTGTACAATTTAATTTGACACTGTTACGTAAAAATATAAAATACAGATTCGATATAGTTTACATTGTTTTATATTATATTTATTTTACATCATTATTTTTAATATATTATCCTTGAAACTTTTATTGTAAAAAATATAATATATAACTATAGATTTGTATTGAACAACGCATAATATTAATTAAAAAAGAAAAATTACATTGTATTTACTTATTAAAAACTCAAAACTTAATTTGCTTTATTAATTTATGTAAATTTATTTTAGACCAATTGGTATTGTACTGTTTTTAATACCTAAAAATTATGCAATAGGAAGATTTATTTTTCTCAAAAAATTACCGTTATTTTTTATTATCAATTATCGAGATATTTTTAATTTTTGCCGTATTTATATCTCTATTTACCCCAAATATAAATAACTTGCAAAAAAGAGATAGACGACGAGTAATTAGTAAATGATGCTACAAAAATAGCTATTCGTTACAAAGCGAACGTCACACGTACGTAATATGCATGTGTCCCGTTAAGAAAATTAATTATTACCATACGCACGCAGCATGGATGAAGTTAATTAACCTCGGCAACGATTGTCGATATGCAGTTGACTAAACGCGTCTGTAATAAAGAGATGTCTATATGTATAACTGCGACGTTATCAGACAATATTACCTTAATTGTCCGCGACTTGGAATGTGTACGCAGACTTCTTCGCAAATATATCGATAAAACATTAGGCAATGCTCAATTGCTCGCTACCTTAACACATATAACACGTATTATCTTTGTGTTACGTTATAAAATGTTTGCAAAACATAAAAGCATCACGTGAAGTAACAAAGTTTTAGAACTGGAAACTCATAATGAACACAGAAAAGAATCTTTACATAATTATCAAAAGAAAAAAATGTAAAAATGTATGAAAAGGATATATTTAAATTTTAAAATATGCTTCCACTTGTTACATTCTGAATTATATTACTACTTAGTTTCTATATTACTACTTAGTTTAATTATTGATTATTAATTAGATTAGTTTACAATTCCGAAATTTTCATCAAACAACATCTTCAGGTAAATCTATTTTTAATGCTATGTTGTCATTAATAAAAATAATTTTAATAAATATTTTAAAAAATGTTGTAAAAGAATCTAAAATAATCATATCTAAATAATATTTTTCGTATAAATCGTGCGAGTTAAAAAATTGTACATTAAAGGAAAAGTTTCAAGCTTAGTTTCAAGACAAATTGTAAATTTCCTCAATTATTTAAATTCGAATCATTGTTATTCACAAACGATACATTCGGTTTAAAAATACGCAAGTCTGAATATTTTAAGGTTTAACGAAACAAGAATCATATTATGTTTCATTTATTCTTGTCATTGGTTTTTCGTAACCACATCATGACGTGCGCTTAAATATTGTCGGTGTATTTTCCGTCAGGGAAATCGACACCGAGCTCATTGTGCAACAAATTACAATATCGTTACGTTTCCATCATTTCCGGAACTCACGACCTCGCAATTTTTACATAAACTGGACTGAAAAGCGAAAAGCAAAAAAAGTATCGCGCGATGCGCTGGCAAGTCATGTCGAGCGCATCGCCGCATAACGAGACGCGAACACCGTAGTTATTCTCTCGAGACCTTAATTCCGAGCCGTTAACGAGGCATAGTTGTTTTTTTCACAGCCAGGAAATGTCCCACTAAAAGAATGGAATTGCGTGTAATTGTCGATCGACCGCCGTTTTCGCTCTCGTTTTTGTCATCTTTTTCTTTGCATATTTTATTTGTCATAACATATAACAATTTTATATACTACAATACAAGGCACGAATATAAAATATTTATATAATATGAATATAAAACATTTATTAAGTTTATTTTATTATTACTTCTGTGAAAATTATTATGTAAAATGAAAGTAAAAAGTAATGATAATTAAATGTTATAAGCAAATACTGTATTAGTGCAAACTGCAGTTTATAAAAAATCTAACACTGTTTATAATTATTTTGAATTAAAAAAATAGTATTATTTTTTTTTAAATTAAACACAAAATTTAAATCTTAAGAAAGAAGTAATTATTTATTAGACATTTTAGACTAATATTATTTAATCATTTATAAAAATAGGAATGTATTCATACTGTAAATTTGCTACATTTTATACTCTAAAGTTATTTTACAATTGACAATTAATAAATTAACTATTATTTTATTACACATTATTTTGTTTTGCTGAGTATAGCATAGAGGTTGGGTATATTATTTTCTTTTCAAAAAACTACTTTCAGTTGATGAGACCGAGGTGTTTTTCCAGCTCTATTGACTTTTCCTATTACGTAAAAGTAGTTTAATTAATTCATTATGGGATAGTGCAAGGCTTTTTTTATTTTCTATTTTGAAACGTGATGACAAAGCGCGTGATTTGTCTATTATGGATAATGAACAATGATACTATCGCAGCGTTAATTATAGTTATGTAATATTTGTAGCTCGGTGAGTGCGATAAGATCTCATAGACTTAAATTCAATTACTTCACAGCAATGCAATTGCTTGCGAGTCGCCTCTGACATAATTTGTCCTATCACAGATAGTTTTGAAACATTTCTTTCTCTTTAGCCGATTCTTGGAAAGACAACGCATTTAATAAATTTTCAAGACTCTTTCAGTAAAAAATTATTAATTAATTGATGGCATGCATTATCGTGCATGCCTCAACGACCGTATACTCAGTGGATATTTGGGCAATCGTTTGCTCGTGTGTTCAATCAAATTGTTAATAGCGTTATCATGGTCTCAATAGAATGCGTACAATCCGATACGAATCGACCTTACATAAGTATAAGGAGGTCATGTTTCATTACAGAATTATATGACATTTTTAATTAAGATTATATCTATATGTAAATACTTATTAAAATAATTATTTGAAAAAAATTTGGAAAAAGTTTGTAAAGATTTTCCTTAAAAATACCTAGAAAAAGGCACGTATCGTTGAAACGTACTGAAGTCGTTTTGATATCAATACATACAATTTTTAAGATATCTCCAAGAATAACATTAAAATAAATTAATATCCAATTTTTTTCTAAATTTTGATTGCTTGCGTTTCTTGATCTCTTTGAAAAATTTTATTATATTTAAATCATAAATTCTCTTTTTTATTCAGTTATTGTAGTTCATTATTCAGTGTTAGAATTTTAAAGACTTTAAAACGAATTTCTTCCAGTATTGGTAGAAGAAAAGTCATTTTTACAACAAAGTCATGAAATAATAATAATTAGCATAACTGAGGCTTTTAAAGCGTCGTGAATAATGGATACGACTAAAAGATATCACCTCAAGATTCCTACGCTGTTTGCATATCGGTGATAAACGAAGTGACGTCTCCTCGTGAAACAATACTCGGGGGAAAATTAGAAGCGAATAAATTCACTTGCAGTTTCGTGTGCACCTTGCAAAAGATTCTAATAAAACCGAATGACTCAATTGTATCGTATCGTGACAAGATTAACAACAACGTAGATTTATCGAGTGGTTTCACAATAAGGAAAATTAGGCGCGAATCTTGACGGATCTTTTGCGAAAGTATAGTGCTAAAAAGAATAACAATTGCGAATCTCTCAAATTTTAATAAAAATTTGAAGATGTTCCTACATTGTATTTGCAACTTAAAACATTTTATATAACATAATACATAAAACAAACCGTATAACTTTATAAAATATTCTTTTAAAAAAATCGAAATTTCATCAGTATCTTGAAATCTTCATCAATGATAGCCGTAAAATCAAGAGTTTCCTATAGATACATATCTCTCTCTATTTTAATTAAGATATACTAAAAAAGAAAGAAACGAAATTGTTATTGAAATTATTTTAGTCTATTTTGAACATGAGAATTAAGATCTTCATACTAAATCCATAAAATTTTGTATCGCATATAAAATTTTGTACCGCATTTTATGTAAGAAATTAATTTATAATAGTCACACTGCGAAATAATAAGCAATGTTAATGCAACAATACAAATTGCAAATTTATGATCGCAAGCTCATTTGTTTATTCCTTCATTATGATATTTACAATTTTCTGAAAGAAAGCATATTTTTATAGCGCTTCTTTCCAGAAGAGTTGCTAGAAATCTTAACGAGAAGAAAAGGATGAACGGACTTGGTAAAGTGTCGAGAATGTTCTCATCATGAACATGTGCTAATGCATTATGACGTCAAGACACAATATATCACGTGCATCAAACACCATTAGCATAAGCATGTGACTGCTGTGGTAGCAATCGACTCTCGTAGCGAGACCGAGTCGTGCATGAAAAAAAAGAGCTGTGCGTCATGAAAAGTGGAGTAGTTATATGATGAGCGTAACGCGATCCGAACGAGTCAAAGTGCTCGACGAAGGAGTCGAGTGCCGATCATGAGTGATCTCCGCGTGAAGTGATATCGAAGAATAATTACCTGTTGAAAGCCGCTATGAAGAAAGGAACGTGATACGAGTGAGTGAGTGACCGAAATAATTGTTCTAGCATTATGTGTTCCGCTCAATTATGACTTAAGCTGATAAGCTTAATTAAACGTTTCTTCACAGACGGGAAATAATTATTAGCCAGATGTGTTGAATATACACACACATATATATGTATATATATATATATATATGAAACAATGAATAAAACTATACGTTATCTTAGATATCAAGATCAAATTAGTTGCCTCTTCATTAATTAATTTACTTACTTAAATTAATTACCCTACGCGCAAAAATAGTTAATGTCTGTGAGACTTTGATTTTCGGCAAAATAATGAAGAAGAGAAACAGAGAGAATTTTCTCTAATGTCAAATATTACAGATAAAATAATTGTAATTAAAGATTACGTTGTGAATAAATTAGCATGCCATCATCAGGGATGCAATTATATTAATAAACTAAAAAAATATAAAAATATTGCATAATTTTGCTACACATTATACAATATTTTGTGAAGACTTGAACACATAAAATATATAAGAATTAATATCTTATATTACGAATTTTCAATGTATTATCTGCATGTTTTTCTTATATATATTTACAATGTAAATTTATATTTTTTCTTTCAATAAAATAATACAAACGCTAATGACGCTATATATTTAACATTAATATTAAAGCAATACGCGTTTCTTTTAGGTGTTAAAAGAATTTGTTTTGGACATGCTTTGGACGAAGATAACATGAGGTTCTCATGCTTCCCGAGGGCCAACATCCTCGGGCAGAGGGGTAGCATCAATCTCACCCCTCTGCCGGGCTACGAGGACTCCAGCTTCACTATAGGCGTCGTACGTCTTATTAACGTAATTTATAAATGAATCACTAATCGTTAGAGGAGGCATAATTTTATAAAAGTCAACTTTTTAATATAACCGTCTATTATATTAAAATATTACTGCAATCTCTATTAGATACGTCCGTTACCTGGTACCATTCCTCCGATAAATGTAAATGGCACTATTCCATCATCCTCCGAATCATCCACATCAGAAAAGAAAATCATACCATCGCCGTCTGAGTCCAATCATGTCAATCATCTTTCAACACATCAAGAAGAGTCCGGATTAGATGATACGGCTGCTGTGAACAATGGAGAACAGCACGTGAATAATCCAAGAGGTGGCGTCATCGGAAGAACGCCAACGCCACCCTCGGCACCGACACCCGTATACGAGAAAGATGCCAGGTAATTAGAGAATAATAATGATAAATATTAATAAATTAGTAATAATTAGTAATATAATTTATGCTAAGCTAGCATTGAAAAATTAATATAATAATTAATGAAAAATAATGATATTCGAAGGATATAACATTTTAATTGTTTTCTAATCGGTATATGTTTTAGTTTATTTCATTCTTTTCGGAAAAGTATAGAACGTAATATTATTATTCTTTTTTACTTATAGGAGTGCCAGGCAAATTACAAAGGCCATTTTGGAGAATGAATTTCTGGGTAATCTTGAAGAAAATCAGGTGGAGGCACTCGTTTCTGCTATGTATCCAAAACAAATTCCCGCTAATACTCTAGTAATCCGAGAGGGCGATATAGGTATATATAGTCTCTTTTTTAAAACATATACACACATATTATTATATAAATTCTAAAAATGTATTACTACACGTCTATATGTAAATACAAAGCAGTTACTTAATAAATGTTAATGTTCGCAGCTACATGTAAATTTTTTTAACGTACTGTTTATGTTTATTTATAGGCTCGCACTTGTACGTGTCGGCGGAAGGAGATTTCGACATTTACGAGGGGAACAAATTCCAACGAAGTTTCGGACCAGGAGTTGCGTTTGGAGAAATTGCTTTATTATATAACACGAAAAGACTTCGATCTATTAGCGGTAGGTTTAAAAAAATGAATAAAAAGTTGGACACATCTCTAAAAATTTAATACACGTTTTAAAAAATATTTTTCAAAATTAAATACAAATATATTTAAGTTTTTATCTTATACAAATATTACAAAAAAAAAAAGAAATTTAGTAATTTTTGTAAAACATATGCTGTATGTATATTTAAATCTGCAGTAATTTACAATATCATTAAACACACTGTATATGAAATTCAAAAAACTAGAAATTTTCTTTGGGAACTAAGATGTGCTTCCTTTTGAATTAATTATATATGTGTTCACAATTTTCTGTTGTTTCAGTAAAGAAAGCTGGAAAAGTATGGGTACTCGACAGATCAGTATTTCTAACTATAATGATGAGAACAGCTCAAGAACAATTGGAGGGCAACATCCGTTTCCTCCAACGTGTTTCCGTTCTTCAAAAACTTCCGGAACCTAAAGACCATGTGCTCGCGAAGATATCCGACCTCATAAGAGTAGTAAGCAAGAAGATATTTTAGAAGATACCATTTTGTTCACCACTTAATTTATAATATGACTTAAAAGAACGTATTAATGATGCTTGTAGGAATTTTTCCCGGCTGGAGCGAAAATACTACGACAGGGCGAGAAGGGTGAGAAATTCTATATAATCAGCGGCGGCAACGTACGGATCACCAAAGACACCGAATACGGAGGCGAGGAGGAACTGGTAGTTCTCGGTAAAGGAGATTATTTCGGCGAATTGGCTCTCTACGATGACGAGGGTGAACGACGTGCCAACGCGATCGCGCTTGCACCTGGAGTCGAATGCTTGACTCTGGACAGAACGTGAGTTCAATTAATACACCTGCATTATTTTGTAATTAATAAATCTCTAAAGTTAAATTAGTTGTACATCGTCAAATTAAACAAATTAAAAAATTGTAAATTGTAAAAACTATCTTAACTTTTATAAAATATCCGTAAATTATTTAATTTAAGACATGAGTCATTTACTTCAAACTGTAACATTCTTTTTAGTTTATAATAATATGTATTTTACTTTCTTTTAAAATAAATTTTAAAAATTAAGAAGCTTATATTCTTTAAGATTATTATTATTTATCATTACACTATTTATTATTTTATTTTATAAAGAGGCATTTACATTTAATCAAGACGATGATTTTAAGACTGCTTTTTTCATGTGTATTGTAAATATAAAATGTTAAAAATATTACATAATTCGAAGAAATTGCCAGGTCATTCCTGAACTATCTGGGCAGTCTGGATGAGATTCGTAACAAGGACTGGTTAGCTGAGTACGAAAAGCAAAAGCGTTCGTTGACTCCGAAGAAGTGGACTAACGAGTATGCAAATTTAACCTTGAGCGACCTTGAAACGAGGGGAACATTAGGAGTTGGTGGATTCGGCCGTGTCGAATTGGTCACGCTCAGATCCGACTCGAATAAAAGCTTCGCTCTGAAGAAACTCAAGAAGAAGGTCATGGTCGAGCAACAACAGCAAGAACACGTGCTGAATGAGAAACATATTATGCAAGCATGCGATTCTCCTTTTATATGCAAGTAAGTTGTCACTGAAATTTGATATCGCAATGTACATTATGACTAATTTGTAATATTATGATATGAAACACACTCTCTCTCTCTCTCTCTCTCTCTCTCTCTCTCTCTCTCTCTC